GTTACAATCAAATCTTGCTCTGGAGCGTTCGAAACCTTAGATAACAGCTGGATTGTCCCGTATTCGCCCATTCTATGTAAAATGTTTAATGCCCACATTAATGTAGAAGCATGTAGCTCTGTCCGCGCAATCAAGTATATCTGTAAGTACATAAATAAAGGAAGCGACCAAACAATATTTAATCTCAGGAGTGAAGGTGGGGCAAATCCCGTTAATGAAGTAGAGACCTTTCAAGCAGGGCGTTACGTCAGCAGTAACGAGGCAGCTCCTTGGCTTCCCTTTACACGAAAGGCACACAACAGTTACTCACCTTGCTGTGCACTTAGAAAATGGAGAGCGTGTAAATTTCACCGAAAGAAATTTCCAAGAAAGCATTGCATCACCGCCAAAAACTACACAAACAGCCTTCTTTCAACTTTGTCACACCGACCCCTTTGCAAAAACGTTGTTATATTATGAAGTTCCCCGCTATTATACTTGGAACATATCTAGGAAGGAGTGGAAACGCCGTATTCAAGGCGCGCCTGTTGCAAATTGGCCCGGTGTAAAGTCATCAGATGCCCTTGGTCGTGTGTATACCGTCCATGTAACTAATTTTGAATGTTTCTGTTTACGATTGCTGCTGCACCGTGTTCGGGGTCCTACAGGATATAAAGACCTTAAAACTGTCAACGGCAACTTATAGAGAAGCATGTGAAGCTCTGCATCTTTTAGAAAACGATAATCACTGGGATGAAACCATGGAAGAAGCTGTGCAGTGCCAGTCACCAGCCAAAATTAGGGATCTTTATGCAACTCTTATATCATCTTGCGGGCTATCTAATGCACATGAATTGTGGGACAAATATAAAGAGTACATGGCGGAAAATATTTTGCGAAGGTTACAGCAGACACACGCGAACATAACATACAATGAACACATTTATAATGAAACACTTGGAAAAATTGAAGATAAAGTAATGGCAATGCTAGGCAAAAAATTAAGCGACTTTGGAAGGATAAGCCCTCAGCGAACAACCGAAAATGAACTAAGTGATGAAATTATACGTGAAACAAACTACGATATACCAGCTTTGCAGCAGCAAGTAGCCGAATTTGTACCCCCCTTGCTTCCCGAACAAAAACGAGTTTTTGACAAAGTATTAGGACAAATTGAATCTGGAAATGGTGCACTTTTCTTTTTAGATGCCCCTGGAGGAACTGGGAAGACATTTTTGTTAAATTAATTATTAGCGCAAGTACGGTAAGATAAAAACATTGCTGTGGCCGTAGCTTCCTCCGGTATAGCCGCATTGCTGCTAAGCGGGGGCCGCACTGCACATTCTGTTTTAAAACTCCCTCTAAATCTAGCCCAGGAAGAATCGCCGATCTGCAACTTTAGCAAAAATAGTGCACGAGGTATAATGCTACGACAATGCATTGTTGTGTCCCTTTTCTTTTAGTGTTGTGTGACTTTTAGTGTGGGACGAAAGTACAATGTCGCATAAAAAAGCTGTAGAAGCACTAAATCGAACGCTCCACGATTTGCGCAGCAATACCGATGAAATGGGAAGAATGGTGGTTTTACTGGCTGGTAACTTTCGCCAAACTTTAGCTGTCATTCAAAAGGGCACACCTGCAGATGAAATTAAAGCATGCCTCAAGTCATCTATTTTATGGAACAAGGTAAAAAAAAAAAACAAAATTCAGTTTAACTACGAATATGAGAGTGCATTTGTATAATGATATCAATGCTGGAAACTATGCTGACACACTATTAAAAATTGGCGATGGGCGGTGGGAAACGGATGCTGAGGGCTGCCTTAAATTGACGAGAGATTTTTGTAATTTAGTACAGAGTCATTCCGAATTAATTGCGAGCGTTTATTCAGATTTAACGAACAACATGCATGAAGACAAATGGTTATGTGAAAGGGTGATTCTTGCACCAAAAATGAGAGCGTTAACAAAATAAATCCAGATATATTAAGCTAACTATCAGGAGAAATAACAGAGTATTTGTCAGTAGACACAGTTATGGACACAGAACTGAGCACTTCATATCCCGTAGAGTTTCTAATTTCTATAGAGTTGTCAGGTGTGCCCTCACATAAGCTTCAATTAAAATTAGGCGTCCCAGTCATGCTAATGCGAAATTTAGATGCTCCTCGGTTATGTAACGGGACAAGACTGCGTGTGACACATCTTGGACGGAACCTAATCGGTGCTACAATTTTGACAGGCGTAGGAAAAGGTGAAAATGTTATTATACCACGGATCCCTATAATTCCCACAGATGTTCCTTTTCAATTCAAAAGGTTGCAGTTCCCTATTAAGCTCAGTTTGGCAATGACAATTAATAAAGCGCAAGGGCAAACGTTACAGGTAGCGGGGGTCAACTTAGAAAAACCGTGCTTCTCTCATGGTCATCTGTATGTAGCATGTTCGCGTATGTCAAATGTCCAGACTCTCCACATTCTTTCCCCGAATCAAAAACATATAACATTGTGTACAGTAGCGTCTTAAAATAGTGTTCAGTTAGTTTTTTTTTCCAAAATTCCCACAATCAATTAATCAGAATGCCCACAGATCTTCCCTTTCAATTCCAAATTTCCTATTTAGCTCAGTGTCTTTTCAGTTCCAAATGCTGCACCTCTGACGGACCTATTAAGCTCAGTTTCCTTTCAACTCAAAAGGCTGCATCTCTGACGGATCTTTTACTTGGTTCACTTTCCTTTCAATTCAGAAAACTGCATCTCTGACGAATCAATATAGCTTAGTTTCTTTTCAAAAGTCTGCATCCCTGGCGGATAACTAGAGCGTCGGCATGGCATGAATTTTGGTATGGGGATAGTATAGTGGGTGTAGAGTGACATAGGCTACTTTTTCAGCGGTAGAACATATCGTTCTCGTGGGAAAATCAAATATGTTGCAAAATTAAATTCAGCTAGGTGGCGCCACCGTGATTCTTCTACAAGACGGACGACGGTACGATAGACGAACACAGAAGGTCCTCTGACGGACCTTTTTAAGCTCAGTTTCCTTTCAACTCAAAAGGCTGCGTCTCTGACAGATCTTTTATTTGGCTCAGTTTCCTTTCAATTCGGAAAACTGCATGTCTGACGAATCAATTTAGCTCAGTTTCTTTTCAAAAGTCTGCATCCCTGACGGATAATTATGCTCAGTTTCTTTTAATTAAAAAAATATCCCATTTCCATTTGGAATATACAGGCTATTTCATGCTTTCCTATACGCTGCGTTTCAAAACATTTAAATAGGCTGACGAATCAATTTTGCTCAGTTTTTTTTAATGGCTGCATCTCTGACAAATCTATAAAACTCAGTTTTCTTTCAATTCAAAAAGCAATGGATAGTTCATTTCCCAGTGACCATGCGGGCGAAGCCGCGAGTAATAGATAGTAACAAATCTTTTCGGGCTGTCAGGTCGTCTAAACCTCTAAACGCCTGTATAGACTTATAGGAGTGCTCGATATAAATCGATATTTCATAAAATTTCGATATATTTATTCGATACATCGAACCCATCCGATATTATCGAATCATCCGATATCGATATAACTCATCTGATATATCGTATAAAATTAAAAGTACACTCTTTTCACATTTACTCTGAACCTAATTTCTTTATAATATGCAATTATTGTTATGCAGTACTGGCTATTTTAAATTAAAACAGTTTCTGTTTGGCTAAGAATTCTAATTTAAAATTAATTTTATTTCAAAAGATGGAATTCTTTTTTAAAAGTTAGTCGTTTGTTAATTGCATAGATTTATTTATACTAAATCTATGATTAATTGATTAGCTTTATGTTTCATCACATTTAAATCATTTTTGTCATCATGGATACGTTAAATACTCGACTAATTATGGAATATGAGTACTGTCGTGGCAGCAACGCGGCACAAGCGGTATGCAACACCAACGTTGAGTACGAAGTGAATACTACAAACGAACACATCACCAATATTGGTTTGCCCACTTTCTTGAAAGTTTTGAGGTGAAAAATGAATCCCGTGGTCATGTGAAAACTTGTAGACAACGACAAATTAAAGGTGATTGTGGAAGCTGATTATTACTCAATCTACGACTGAATAAGTAGCAGCTTTCAACGTTAGCATCAAAACAATTTTGGTCCATTTTCGTCAAATTGGCACGGTAAAAAAGCTTGACAAATGGGTGCCCCACGAACTCAATGATCGCCAGTGAGATGTAGCGCCATAAATTTTAAACTGTATTTTTACCTGTGACAAAAATGGATTCTGTTTGACTATCGCAAGCGTTCAGCAACTTGGTCGGATCCTCGTTAAGCACATAAACAATAACCTAAACAAAAACTTACACCTAGAACAGTCATGGTCACTGTTTGGTACTCTAGCGCCAGTGGGATTCATCACAGCTTCTTACCAAACGGGATCAATATTACAGATGTCTATTGTAAAGAACTTAACAGCTTAACACAATGATGGAGAAGCTCGCACATCTCCAACCACCTTTGGTCAATCGCTCGTCCCCGCTGCTCATGCACGACAATATTTTACGTATTTACTCATATTAAACTTTTCCTGTTTTGTTTTTTCACACAGAAATAAAAATTTCAAGCGATATATCGAAAATATCGTTATTATTGACCGATTTATCGCAAAGTATGGATACATTATTGCGATATATTATACCGAAAAAATATCGATACTTTTTGTACGTGAACATGCTTAGTATATACTAACCTAAAATATGTATGTCACCAGTCACCACAGATTTTATTTTATTTATTACTCTGTGATTTAATGTAATAAATTGTATTGTATCTAATGTCTTGAAAAATTAAATTATTATTAGCGTTATCGCAAACGGTTGGTAAGAATCATTTAAACGGTTGTCCTGATAAGTGAAAAGTTTGTTTATTTAGATTACGTCGCTGCAATTGTGTCGTAAAATGTGGTTAGAAAAACAGTGTAAAATTTATCATTCCTCTGCTCTTAGTTTGAAAATACTATTGTAGATGTTAAGTGGAGACAACACAATGTCCGACTACGATCTACAGTTCCAAGCGGACCTAGAAAAGGCGCAGGCTTTGAGTTTAGAAAGTTTGGCTCTTGAACAGTTTCGCAGACAGAAACTACTGTCTAATACTAATACAGGTAACTGACGTAACTTTGTTTACCCCCTACTTTATAGCGATGATTCAAGGGTTCTAAAAATTTGTAGTACTTTTATTAATTACTATGTATATACAATTTCATAAAAACGTCCATATAAACTAGATTGTAATGTCAATATAAAAAAAATATTAGTTTGCAAAGTGAATTAAGCATTGAAATGAAATTGGTTGTTGGAATATACAATTGAAATAAACTCAATTGAGTTCATAATTGATAAAATAGCTATCAATCTGAAAGGATGCTGAGTTCGTTCACCTTTCTTTAAAGTTAACATAAGGAGTGTTGTCAAAACAACAGTAGTATAAATATTACAAAATTACTGTGTATTTTTTTAAATACATGATTACATAGCTTATCATAATTATCAATACATTCAAAGTAACTAAATAAAGTGAAACTATTTCTTTCCTGTTATCAAAGTAAGAGTTTTGGGCAGTCATCATATTTAATACTGATGTTTTAGTGTAACAATCTATGCAGATATCATTCTGACAGTGCTAGTAACTGTTTAAGGCACTATCTCAGGGGTATTAAAATTATAGAAACAAACTTTTGTGTTGTTGTTGATACTTATTCAATTAATTTTATAAATTAAACTGACAATGAACTCAAGAGATAATAGTTCGTGTAAGTGGGTGATTATTTGGTTACTTTAAGACTTCTCAGTTCTCACCCCAAGTTTAATCATATTTTTTTTTAATTGAAGATGGTAGAGGTGTATCATTACTATGGTGGTGAACAATACATTTATAACTGCATAAGGTGGGTTTCCTAACTGTTCGATGTATAAATCCGCAGTTATAGTTTGGTTAGAACAAGTAACTTTAATGTATTATTTAATTTAAATCCCAGGATAGACATTTTAGTTTTTCAAATGTGCTCTAGTAAAGCATGCAATTTTCAAACTTTTTATATTTTTGTAAATGATACATTTTACATTGCATATTATTAAACTAAAAAAAAAAACACTTCTCTGATATAACAGCAAAGAAAAACAAATATTCAGCCTGGCCATTTAATTTATTTCAGATAAGAGATGTATTTTTCTACCATGTAACCTCTTTTTATAAAACTTCAAGAGTTTTTGCTGATCATACAATATAGCATGGTCAATATCTTGGTTGTCTCTAGTGCCCTTTCCATACACCTCACAAATATATTGAACCCCAGTGCCAAGAATGGAAACTATGACTACTGCTAAGAATTTCTTGATTGAAAAACCTAATAACTGATTTTGGCCTGACCCAGGCTTTGAACCTGGGACCTCCATCAGCAACCATTATTTGTCATTAGTAAATATATGGCTAACGTCTCCCTTATAAGGCAATCTATGGGTAGGCCTACGTTTATCAGTGGATTTTATTAGGATATAATGAATGAAAAAAAAATCATTATTCCTCCTCCTCTATAGATTGCCTCATATGAGAGATTTTTAATGTATGAATACAAAAACAAAAATAGTTTTATAAAAAAATAGTGATGTACATTCTGTAAATACTAGGAATAAACACAAGTTAGCTATACCAGTTACTTGACTCCAATGAGTCAATAATTCCTTCATGCTTTATATATATATACTTTTACAACAAAGTCCCAGAAAATATGCAGACCTTATCTATCAAAAGGTTTAAAATATTTATTAAGAAAAATTGTTTAGTAAGGATTATTATACTAGAAAGAGTTCATAATTGATAATAAACCCTGGGAATGAGGTGATTGCTACCATGCTGTTAAATGTTTTTATAACAATTGTATAAATTTTATATTGTTAGTTATCCTTTTTTAATGTTCCGTTGTTTTTATGCTGGTTCTTCCCAAGACAGAAGTTTCTTTTCCAAACCAGTGCTAAAAGTAAAAAATTACTTTCAACAGGAAATACATGTACATAATCAATATTGAATAAAAATGATTCCATTCTATTTTTTAGCAGCATCTTCTTAATAACAACTCCAAAGTAATAAAAAAATGCAATTGGAAATCTGCCTACCGAATATGGCAACTATGGCAAACAGCATAAGAGGTTCTATGTGGTAGAGGCTTGTGATGGGCTGTAATGAATGATTAATATTCATAAAAATATTACTGGGTACTACCACCTCTTACCTATAATCAATAAAATTAAAACTAAACCCAAGTCATACCACTGCAAGACCTCAGGACATAGTCAGTTCATTTTGCATAGATCGGACCATAAACAATAATTAAAAAAGCATGAAGGTACTCCGGGTTTACACAATGACATCGGGACGTCAGTCATCTCAGTCCCCCGTGACCATGGGTCTGGAAAGCGCCCGAAACGTCTGGAATTAAAAATAAAAAGTAAACATAAACGCGATAAAATCCGTAAAAGTAGTTTTAATTCATATTGTCATGTTGACCCCATGTAATGAACTTCCAATATAATTATTTAACTGTGATGTTAGAACAGACGGACAAAAAGTTCAATGGTTTCATAAGGATACCATTATGATAATTTAGACATGGTACAGCCAAATCCCTCATCCACATTCTTGGTCTATACACTTTATTTTGGTTAATCTATATATACAGTAGTCTCACGAATCCTGCACTGTAAAAGACCAGGAGGTGACGGATTATTGGAATGTTTGGATTACTGGATTGTATAAGGAAATTCAAGGTAAATAAAGCCTTATGTAAGGCAATATGTATTAACATATTACATACATTTGTATGTACATATTATTTGTGATAAGGTTTTTCTTATCCTATACCTTTAAACAAGCAATTCTTGTATATATATATAATCGGAATCTTGGAAACGGCTCCAACGATTTTTATAAAATTTAGTGTCCAGGGAGTTTCGGGGGCAATAAATCGATCTAGCTAGGATTTATTTTTAGAAAATGTCCTTTTGTCAGTGTTTTCAGGCAATAAAAAAACTGATACAATATAAGAAGGTAAATTTAACAGATTACTAACTATTGTAATAGCTCAGGTGGGATGTTGTTCGGGCGTGATATCGAAGTTCTGTGGTTCGCGTCCTGTCTCTGGTCTGGCTTTTTCCTTTTTTTTCAAGTTCCCTTCTTTTGTGAGAAAATCTCTTATTTCAAGCCCTTTTCTTTAGTATTTTTTAAAAATACGAACATTTTAATAAAAGTAATTGCACTCATGATTTTTTATTCAAATAATCAGTTCAGTTTTTTCTTTTCTGTCAATAAGATCAAAAAATATTATTTATGTTTCATCAAAGCTCGGTCATCCGGGTACTTTAACTAATTTATTTTGAAATATTCTTCAATTAGCGTCTGTGTTTTGCAACTTGTAGTTTTTGTTAAAAACTTTTTCGGAGCTACTGGACTACTGGATGTGCCGATGTACTGAAGTGCATGAGTAGTGAGACTATTGTATAAGCAAAATACCATTGACTGACTGATTCATCATGAGATCTCCAAAAATAATACACCCTATTGACTTGAAATTTAGTATAGCTACTCATTTCGCAATATAGATGCTCACTAAGAACGGATTTTACGACAGCCCAATCAAAAAAATCTTGACAATTTAAATAAAATATTATTGTGGGCCCAGCGAAACGAGCGGGTATCAGTTAGTACTGTTATATAAGGTCATTTCGTTTACCTATACTGAATTACTTTATTTATTGGGAGAAAAAAGTGTTGTAGTAAATGAGCAATCTATATTTTAAATTTTATTTAACCTAGCGGTCTCATGAGACTGCGGCCATATTCTGTCAAATCCCTAGCGGTCTTATGAGGTCTCACCCACCCACAGCACTAATAACCCATAAAAACATATATCGAGATTACTTTTCTATGATGAAGTTTGGCATTATTTAATCAATATGAAATACTCTATCCTCTAGCGCAATAAAAAAACTGTTCCTATGAATATTTATTTGTAATCTACTTCATTTCGTACGCCATTACGTGAATGTTATTGTGTTGATTTTTGGGTTTTTCTAGTGTTTTAGTATAGTGTTTTATTATAAAATTGTAATGAAAGTTTTTGTGTGAATATAAAAAATATTTATCGTTAATTAGAAATATATATTGAAATAATTGTGATTTTCACATTGCCGACATTCGCTTGGTCTGTTTTGTTTTTGTTATCAAAGTACAATAAAATCTTTTTGTAATGAAGTAAAACCTGACTTTTGCTTAGACCACAAGATGAGAATTTTGTATAGATTTTGTAATGCTAAACTTCTTCATAGAAAAGTAGTCTTAAATATAAGTTTTAATGGTTTCAAGTGCTGTGGGTAGGTGCGGTCACATGCGACAATTAAAAGTAAATTTTTAACTTGAAAAAATAAAAAGTAATCAAAAATAACAAAATTCAAAAGATGTGTGTACCCTACTTTACTCATCCCAAATAAGTATTGTTGAATTTGTAACATCCTTAATATGACTAATTTAATGAAATATCAGAAAAATACAATAAATTTGCACAATATGCCATGGGCATAGGCGGTACATTTTTTCATCTGTTACACCTTGATTTTTTCCTCACTGTTAAGCCATCCAGTACAATATATGAAAAACATATGACTCATTTCTTCTAGAGAAGGCAAACAAACTTACAGTTCATTTGATGGTAAGTGGCTAAAGCAGTCCATGGACAACTGTAGCCAACTTCAAACATGTTTATTTTAAGTAATTGTGCCTAAGTTAAAACAGTTTAAGACATATTTAACACTTTTACACCATTGTTAAAATATTCTTTAAATTTTCTTTTGATATGACATATTTACTCTTAAACTTCAAATTATGTAGTTGACACCATTATTAATAAACTAGGTACTACATCATACGAGGGTGGATTGAAAAGTACTCGGCCTAACACAGATCCATTCAATTCTAAAAATCAAATCTACCCACATTATTTAGTTCAGTTCAGACTAGTTCATTGTGTGAAGTTCGAAACGTGTGCGATAATTAGTTGTGATTTTATAAATTTATTAACAAAGTAATCGGACATAATTTCCGCGAATGGAACAA